TTGTGAGAATTAGGGAACGACTGATGGCATCCAGGGACCGAGATCCTTTCCAGGATCTATCCGATACATTAGACCATTCGAAGTCTCTCCATGGAAAGGGATGATCTGATTCGGATAATGGGGAAGGTTAAATCCATGATACATTAGACCATTCGAGATCCTTTCCAGGATCTATCCGATGGCCAACAAGCTACAATTACCTCCAGAACTCAGCTAAGTACACCTCGTCTTTCATTTGCCAAACTTGAAGAAATGCTTCTCTAACGAAACCCTTGTAGTACCAGTTAACGAAATTGAGGTGAATGAGGATCTCCACCTCATTGAGGATCTAGTCAAAATCATGGATAAGGAAGTGAAACAAACAAAACAGATGATGCAGAGATGCCCCCATCTTTTCTCTAATTCTTATGGACTGTTTTCAAATGAATTTCAGGACCAAAATTTCACAACCAGCAAGTTAGGGCCAAGATTTCTATCTTGTACAAGATAATTTCTTCGTGTAACCTTGTAAAATTACCTACAATATAAATCAAACTTCAATACTATTTAAGTTTATATACCCAATAATTGTGATTCAAGTTGAAAACACCTTGTAAAAGCCCAAAACCTAATCTGATAACCTAATACTACTCAACTTTGGGCCTTACTCCGAGATAATAGGGGTTGAAAACGACTTTTCGAAAATATAACGCACGTAGATCCGGGCTAGTCAATTTAGAGATAATAGGGGTTGAAAACGACTTTTCGAAAAAAGATTATTTAGAATAAATAATCACAAACAAGTTTTAGAATATGTTTCAAGGGTTCTGTACATATAAAGAGCGCTGAAATCCGAGTTATAACAAAGAAGTTATGATCCGTCGAAGTTTAGCGACGAAACCGGCACGACACCGCAAAGACGTAAATACTGAATTGATGATAGACCTTCTTTTAGCCTTAGTAATCTAAATGAAAGTCGTAAAATATGTTAACATGAGAGCGGCCATAAAAAGAACGCCCAAATCTGACTTCTTATGAGGAAGTTATGATTTTTCGAAGTTTCAGATTAGCAGTGTACAGCCCGAAATTCGAATATTAGATCGAGCGGTTTTTAGCCGACACAACCTAAACGAGAATCGAAGATCTCGTTATTAGTAGCATAACTATAAAAAGACATACAAAAATGGCATCAGATGAAGAAGTTATGAGATTTTAACGGACCATTCATGTCCCGGCCTGTTAAAAATATAACTTTAAAAATAAATTCAAAATTAGCCAACAGAGTCTAAATGAAAGTTTTAAAGTACGTCTCCACCTACGTGTGGATATAAATAACGTTAAAAATGGAGTTCGTATGAACGAGTTACAAATTATAATAGCATATTTATGTATTAAAATAAAGTATAAATCATATATACGTACACACACACACACACACACACACACATATATATATATATATATATATATACACATATGTATATATCATTAGAAAGGTATCGACGATGCAGTAATTATAAGACTAATGTTGAGTTTTTTCAACATTAG